TATTCAGGTAGCAAGAAGCACAAATAGTGGAACTGATATACTTTTCATCTGTTATGTTCATTTAGACCAGTGTTTCTTAACCTTTTTGATACAATGGACCCCTTTCAAAATTTTTTGGAAGTCACGGACCACCCATCTGAGGAAAAAAATTGCAAAAAACATCAATCTTTAGTATTTAATTTATTTTAGCATTTAATTTTATTATTTCAATAGTATACAAAATATTTAAAACTAAAATTTTTAGTCTGAAGGCTGTTGTTGCTTTTCCTTAATTAATAAATTGAATAGAGGGATGGTTTTCGACAAAGCAACACGCATAACATGTTCAACATTCAATCGATAGCGATGTTTTGTTTTTATTGTCACAACTCTGGAAAGTCCGGCTTTGTTAAGATACACTGTAGCTAACGGAATTATAACTGAAATAACTCGCTTTGCAAGCAATGGGTAGGCTACTTTCACAGAAGACCAGAACTCTCCGAGTGTTTTTGAATCGAAATCCATTTTCAGCAAGGACTTTGTTCTAAGATCAATAAGCTCATCTTTGGTAAGGTTCATAATCATCGATACAGTCAATATCACAAAGAAAAGGATGATGAATCCGCAACTCATCTTTTATCTCTATCTCATCTAAATTAAAATATTTTTTCAATGAAACTTGAAGTACTTCCTGGTGTACACAGATTTCATTTTTTAAGTTATTCAGTAACAAATTATCTTGCCAAAATCCATTTTCAGAAAGCACTTCATCCAACATTTAAAAGTTTGCATATATCTCATTTTGAATTCTATTTTTTTCAAAGTGGCATCTTCAATTAGAATGCTTGTAGTTTCTCAGCTGCATCCATAATGGTGATATCGGGTCCTTGAATTAAAAGACTTATATTATTCATGTGGTTAAAATTATCTGCTAGGTAAGCCAATTTATAGGTAAAATCTTTTTTGTTTAAATATTCGAAGAATTAGTTATCTTTTTCTTCTAGAACAAGTGATAATTCGATCTTCAACATGAAAAATTGTTGCAAAACCTGCCCTCGTGACAGACAGCGCAATTTCGTGTGGTACAGAAGTACCTCATGTTCTGCGTCCATTTCTTGACACAGCGTTTTAAAGAGACGATGATTAAGAGCTCTACGTCTAATAAAATTTACAGTTGTAATAACTTTTGATAATGCTTCTTTTAAGCTGGTTGGAAAAGTTTTGTAGCCAGCGCATGTTTATGTAAAAAACAATGAGTAACAAGAACATTAGGAGACTTTTTTTTCACCAACAGGGCAAAACCAGATTTATTGCCAAGCATCACAGTTGCTCCATCTATACTACGTGAATGAAGTTTTTCTTTCCAGCCGAAGTCTTGCTTGGTAAAGAAAAGATTTAACATTGCTAAAACATCAACTGCCTTTGTAGTTTGCAAAAGAGACTCACAAAATAAGAATTCTTCTTTGATAGTATCAAGAGACACGTAACGAACAAAAACAAGAAGTTGACTATAATTCGAGATATCTGTAGTTTCATCCAGTTGCATATTAAAGGGAAATTGCGATACTTTCAATTCATCGATGATCTTTTTCAAGATATTGCAAGAAATTNTGGTTAAAATTATCTGCCAGGTAAGCCAATTTATAGGTAAAATCTTTTTTGTTTAAATATTCGAAGAATGAGTTATCTTTTTCTTCTAGAACAAGTGATAATTCGATCTTCAACATGAAAAATTGTTTCAAAACCTGCCCTCGTGACAGACAGCGCAATTCCGTGTGGTACAGAAGTACCTCATGTTCTGCGTCCATTTCTTGACACAGCGTTTTAAAGAGACGATGATTAAGAGCTCTACGTCTAATAAAATTTACAGTTTTAATAACTTTTGATAATGCTTCTTTTAAGCTGGTTGGAAGAGTTTTGTAGCCAGCGCATGTTTATGTAAAAAACAATGAGTAACAAGAACATTAGGAGACTTTTTTTCCACCAACAGGGCAAAACCAGATTTATTGCCAAGCATTACAGTTGCTCCATCTGTACAAGCATCACAGTTGCTCCATCTGTACGAAGTGAATGAAGTTTTTCTTTCCAGCCGAAGTCTTGCTTGGTAAAGAAAACATTTAACATTGCTAAAACATCAACTGCTTTTGTAGTTTGCAAAAGAGACTCACAAAATAAAAATTCTTCTTTGATAGTATCAAGAGACACGTAATGAACAAAAACAAGAAGTTGACTATAATTCGAGATATCTGTAGTTTCATCCAGTTGCATATTAAAGGGAAATGGCGATACTTTCAATTCATCGATGATCTTTTTCAAGATATTGCAAGAAATTTCAACTATTCTTGACTGTGTCACATCATTTGAAAATGGAATTGCCTTAAGTTTTTTTTCCTCTGTTCCAATCTACAAACTAGTTCAATCATTTCCAGCGCATATGGCTTAATTAACGTCTCTCCAATAGTATGCGGTTTCTTGATTTTAGCAATACGATATGCAACTTTGAGAGATGCTTCAACCAGAGATTTTTGTGGAATACCAAATCCAAGTTTGTCTAATGTTCCAGATTTCAAAAACTGGGCTTTCTTCTTAGTAAAAAATTCTAGATCTAGTAACCTGAACAAGGTGTCAAATGTACGTAGCTTGATAGGGGATAATAAAAATAATACAGCGGACGTCATCAGGGGGTTGCCCCTGATGGTGCAAACTGAAAGTGGAGGATGTTAAAAATATGACAGGGATATTTGAGGGCTGTGTGCAGTCCGTACTGAATTTGGGGTATCTCGATCACCTAGTTTCAAATATGTAGTTTCAATGTATTTTCACCTTTTAGAAAGAAAAAAGATCAATGCTATTTAAATATTATTGATCCAAACGTTTTAAAAATTAGGAGTAGTCGGTGGACCCCCAAAATATGACCCATGGACCCCTAAGGGGTCCATGAACCACAGGTTAAGAAACACTGCCCTACAGGCTAGGAACTTTGAATAAATTAGCTTAAATCGGTTCTTTACATACCTTTACTTTCAATTTTAGGAAACAAAGACCTCAAGGATCCGGCGCGCAAAACAGGCCAAACTGTGCACACTCGAGATAATTCGAGCAGCTTTGTACTTTATGCTGCTATAATTTTTCATCCTCGAATGTAATCGAACATTGAAAATAACAATGTGAAAGCGAAGAAAAAAAATGTTTTATTGTTATTGACATACCTGCCAACTTTTAATCCTTTCAAGGATGATTTTCCCCAGTGGTAGTAAAATGGAATTTAAATTACAATTTTAGACTGAAAAACTTACTGTACAAAGAATTGCATATTAATATCTATACTTAATTTTTTTAAAAATAGTGGTGGATCAAAAATATTATAAATTAAGTTTATAAATACAAGGAATATATAGAAAGCATACATTTTACTACCACTTTAAATATAGAAATAAAATTCTACGCCTAATACGTAAAAGTTGGCAGGTATGTATTTATCATTTACATAGCTATAACACTTATTTAT